CAAGTGGATTTCTACAGAGATTAAACAGCAGAGGAGCTAAAATACATCCCTGCCTCACTGGTCTGTGAGTTGGAATCTCATTATTGTGGTGGCCTTGCATACTGCATCAAACGTTGATTCTAGAGTTCTTACAGAGATTGTGCATAAGCAATAGTAACCGCCTATCGATGGTGGTATACAGGAACTTGGTCCAAAGCCTTGCTCTGGGAACTAGATCAAATGCAGACCTAAAATCAATGAATGCGGTATATAGTGTTGAGTCTGTTTTAGATGTCTATTTTTCAGCCAGATGTTGAAGTAGGAGGGCATGTCCATAGATAGAATGTCCAGACCTGAAGCCCACTTGCTCATCTACCAATATATGCAGTAAATCAATCCAATCAACTAATGTGTTGTATAAGTGTCTGGCAAAGAGCTTCCTTATTACCCTTAACAGGCTAATAGGGTTATAATTAGGAGCCAGTTCTTGGGAGCCCTTTTTGTAGATGGTCACGATAATGGCTACGCCCCTCTCCTCTGGAATTTGTACAGTGCAATCGATATAAGTAAACAGGGAGGCAAGAACAGGGGTCCACCATTCCAAATTATTGCATAGTATTTTGGGTGTAATCAAGTCATTGCCTGGAGCTTTACCAGGCTTTAGCTGAGTTATGAGCACCTTTATTTCAGCATTTGTGACTGGAGCCCAGTTAGGGAACTGGTTACCATAAATACAAATTTAGGAGTTTCTTCTTGTGAACATAATGCTCTAAAGTGGTCCTCCCACACAGATGCAGGTAAAAGGTGAGGAAGTGAAAGGGGCCTGTCAATTGGATGGAAAGCTATCAGGTGCCGGAATAGAGTGGAGTTTCTGGCTTGAGATGCTGTGATCATTTGCTGACAGGAAGCCCTAGTGAATTCTCCTTCCTGGTTTTGTAAAAGACGTTTGTACTGTTTCTTCAGGAGGATAAAATGTTGGACAGAGTGCTCAGCTGAGTTGTCTTTGTATAACTTAAATTCCCTGATCGGTTTACTCTTGGCCTCAAAACATTCTGTATCAAACCAGGGCTGAGAGGGAGAAGTCCTGCCCCTTGTTTGTTCCTCTTCCTTGATATCTGGGCGGACAGCACTGCTGGAGTAACGGAATCAGTTGGGTGAATGTCTGCAAAGGAGAATTCCCAGACCTCTCTCCAGCTGGAGTAGTGGAATGGAGTTGCTGTGCTGCTCCAGATAGAAAATAAAGGAATGCTATGAGGGTATCCTGCCAATGCTTGATAGCAGCTGCCCATGCAAAACACCCTGCCATCTTCTAGAGGTTGGTAGCCCCATCTTTTTCTAACACTATTTAGAGCTCTTCGCCACAGATAACAGCCAGTATATGGGAACACCATTTTGTCACTTTATATGGTCAAGTGGAGAATTTCCTAGCAGATGTGGAGTTAGATGTGGCCTTTCTTCCCTATTGGCCCCCGGTCTCATGCGCAGAGATCAGAAATATAATTAAACAGTTCAAACCAGGGAAAGCCCCCA